CCTTCACCAAAAGCAGAGCAAAGAGACTCTCAAGTTGTCATTGTCATTAAAAAAGACGCCATGAGACGGTTGTCGTGTCTGCCACAGGCCACTAACAACTGCAGCCTGTTCACGAAAATGCCCCTCTGAGGGAACAAATTTGCCATTGTTATCAGTGTCTGCATACGCCTTTCTGACATGAAGAAAACCAGGATACAAAGACTTGCATGCCTTCTTAGCGAATGTTGCGAATACAGACAAACTGAGTGTCCTTGATGATTTTCTTGTCTGCATAGGCGCAGCTCACGTGGTTATTTGATCCTGGAGGCGGCATGGATGCATCCCCACCCAGTTCACTAACAGTTACCGAACTACGTGCTCGTCTGGAGGCGTAAACGTGTGATGTTTTCGGGTTGCAGACAAACGAATGGACCACTACCTAGTCGTCTTCTAGATAAGAGTACAACTGCAATCAGGTAGGCGATCGCAGGCAAGTTAGATACTGGATACTATTTAATTACACTTAAATTTAAGCCCTTGCACAAATTCAAAGGTGGAACAGACAAGTTAGCTACCCACCCTTCATAGGCACTGCGCTAAAAACCACCTCTTATTATAGTTACTTTGCCTTTCTATCGAAGCGCAGTGGTATGAAGGAAGAGAGTTACAGGTTGGACAAGTCTGTTTCGTCCTAAACAAACCCAGACCGAAGTCAACGCTAACGGGCTCACCTCATGGAGGAATGGTTGAGGTAGTTGCTAACAGCGATTGACAGTGTGCCGAAAGCTAATCATGTGAGCTGCCATCCTACAAAAAGAAGTAGGACTTCTGTTGTCTTACAGACATTGTAAGTTTTATATAACACGGAGAATGTCGATGATGACGAACATCATTTATACCTATGACATTAACGGAGCGACGTGTCATCTTCCACATGTGTGTATATCGCCTCTAGCAAAATCGCCGCCGCACTCGCACTACAACAGAAGGAGAAATAGACACGCACTGCGTGAGGACCCGTGTCTGCCTCCATCACCGGCGTACGGATTAAGGCTGCAATTATCCGGATGCTCAATGCAAAGGCTAAGAGAGGACATTTACGACCATATATGCCTCCTAGACTCTCTATCAAGACATCCGCATCCACTAGCAAAGTGATTGACCATTGGAAAACAGTATAGCCTCCTTTCCGGTTCCCTCCTGTGACACATTTGTCTCTGGGAAAATTTACCCCTAGATTCGTGCCAACGCTCAAATCCCACAGAAGTTTCCTTTTTCGATAGTTGACTGCTTCAGATTGCTCCATACCATAAATCAAATTTTCCACCATCCATGCGTGTGATTTGGTGTTAGGTTATCTGTTTTCCATTACTTGTTTGAGGATGCGCAAGGGTGCTATAGCACTCTTAATTTTAATATATTAAAATGAAATGATTTCATCAGCATAATTCCCATTACTATTTGGTGTCGACGTCGTTATTGTTGTGGTAATCATAAGTTGGTTTGATAGAAAAGTGCTTAAACTGTGTAAGATGATTTT